CACACCCACACACCCACACACCCACACACCCACACACCCACACACCCACACACCCACACACCCACACACCCACACACCCACACACCCACACACCCACACACCCACACACCCACACACCCACACACCCACACACCCACACACGCGCACACGCGCACACGCGCACACGCGCACACGCGCACACGCGCACACGCGCACACGCGCACACGCGCACACGCGCACACGCGCACACGCGCACACGCGCACACGCGCACACGCGCACACGCGCACACGCGCACACGCGCACACGCGCACACGCGCACACGCGCACACGCGCACACGCACACGCACACGCACACGCACACGCACACGCACACGCACACGCACACGCACACGCACACGCACACGCGCACACGCGCACGCACGCGCACACGCGCACACGCGCACACGCGCACACGCGCACACGCGCACACGCGCACACGCGCACACGCGCACACGCGCACACGCACACGCACACGCACACGCACACGCACACGCACACGCACACAACACACGCACACGCACACGCACACGCGCACGCACACAACACACGCACACGCACACGCACACAACACACAGCACACAGCACACAGCACACACTGTGTGTACTTTTACCACAGAACAGCGTCGGGTGAGCGGGGCTGGGCCGCGGAGGCCACGGAGCGGCCGGGCGGGCGCGGAGGTTCTTGGGCACGAGGGCGGAGGTTCTCGGGAGGGGGAGGCTGGCAGCGGAAGGAGGGAGAAGAGGGGGAGGACAGGCGGGAGGGGAGAGGCCACGTAGGAGCAAAAACAAACAAAACACACACACACACAAACACACAAACAATAACCCAGGGACGTACCCAATCCACTCGCACCAGGATGCATCATCAAGTGGCTGCTCCAAAACGACTTAACATCCGCTGGGCCTCCCAGGAGCCCACGAAAGTGCCGACAATTGCGCACTTGGCAGCTCCCCCCGCAGGGAGCCGCGGGGTCCCGACGCGATCCGCGTGTCCCCCCACTCCGCTGGGCCTCCCAAGAGCCCACGAAAGTGCCGACAATTGCGCAGTTGGCACCCCGCAGGGAGCCGCGAGTTCCCGACGCGATCTGTGTGTACCCCCACTCCGCTGGGCCTCCCGGGAGCCCACGGAAGTGCTGACAGTTGCGCAGTTGACAGCTCCCCCCGCAGGGAGCCGCGAGGTCTCGACGCGATCCGCGTGTCCCCCCACCCCGCTGGGCCTCTCAGGAGCCCACGAAAGTGCCGACAATTGCGCAAATGGCAGCTCCCCCCGCAGGGAGCCGCGAGGTCTCGACGCGATCCGCGTGTCCCCCCACTCCGCTGGGCCTCCCAGGAACCCACGAAAGTGCCGACAATTGCGCACTTGGCAGCTCCCCCCGCAGGGAGCCGCGAGGTCCCGACGCGATCCGCGTGTCCCCCCACTCCGCTGGGCCTCCCGGGAGCCCACGAAAATGCCGACAGTTGCGCAGTTGGCAGCTCCCCCCCGCAGGGAGCCGCGAGGTCCCGACGCGATCTGCGTGTACCCCCACTCCGCTGGGCCTCCCAGGAGCCCACGAAAGTGCCGACAGTTGCGCAGTTGGCAGCTCCCCCCGCAGGGAGCCGCGAGGTCCCGACGCGATCTGCGTGTCACCCCCACTCCGCTGGGCCTCCCAGGAGCCCACGAAAGTGCCGACAGTTGCGCAGTTGGCAGCTCCCCCCGCAGGGAGCCGCGAGGTCCCGACGCGATCTGCGTGTCCCCCCACTCCGCTGGGCCTCCCAGGAGCCCACGAAAGTGCCGACAGTTGCGCAGTTGGCAGCTCCCCCCGCAGGGAGCCGCGAGGTCCCGACGCGATCTGCGTGTACCCCCACTCCGCTGGGCCTCAGGAGCCCACGAAAGTGCCGACAATTTGCGCAGTTGGCAGCTCCCCCCGCAGGGAGCCGCGAGGTCCCGACGCGATCCGCGTGTCCCCCCACTCCGCTGGGCCTCCCAGGAGCCCACGAAAGTGCCGACAGTTGCGCAGTTGACAGCTCCCCCCGCAGGGAGCCGCGAGGTCCCGACGCGATCCGCGTGTCCCCCCACTCCGCTGGGCCTCCCAGGAGCCAACGACAGTGCCGACAGTTGCGCAATTGGCAACTCCCCCGCAGGGAGCCGCGAGGTCCCGACGCGATCTGCGTGTACCCCAACTCCGCTGGGCCTCCCAGGAGCCCACGAAAATGCTGACAATTGCGCACTTGGCAGCTCCCCCCGCAGGGAGCCGCGAGGTCCCGACGCGATCTGCGTGTACCCCCACTCCGCTGGGCCTCCCAGGAGCCCACGAAAGTGCCGACAGTTGCGCAGTTGGCAGCTCCCCCCGCAGGGAGCCGCGAGGTCCCGACGCAATCTGCGTGTACCCCCACTCCGCTGGGCCTCCCAGGAGCCCACGAAAGTGCCGACAGTTGCGCAAGATCGCAGGAAGCGACAGATGCGCAGATCGCAGCCCCCCAGAGGGCGCCGCGAGGAGGAGGTAGGAGGCAGCAGGGAGGTGGGCGGGAGGACGGGGCGACCAGAGTGCTCTATTCAAAACGAGTACCCAACCAAGGGAGGGTTGGGAACAGACAACAAAACACACTGTGGGAAAACACACTGTGGGGAAAAACACTGTGTTTTAATACAAGCACTGTAATTTTCTCAAACATAAAAGCAGGGTGGGAAACAACACACTGTGGGAACAGAACACACAGTGGGAAAAGCACACACAAACAAAAAACAACAAAACACACGGTTTTTTTTCCCACAGGGTAACGATGGTGATGATGGTGTTGATGACGATGGTGGTCACCACGAAGCAGCACGACTGATCATGATGAGGAGGAGAGCCAGCGTCATGCTTTCGAAGTGGTCTGATGATGAGGAGGAGTGCCCTCGTAGTGGTCTGCTTCGCTCCCTGGTCATTCGAAGCCTGTGGCCCTTCCTCCCTCTCGCCGAGAGAGAAGCGGATGCAGGGACGTGGCTCCCAAACTAAGCAGTGGACAACAACGTTCATCGAAACCACACAGACCCAATAGGTCCGATCTTCGGGCTCTGACCTACCTGGTCAACTATGACTGTGCCGGCTGGCGCCGTCGCAAACTTGCGTCACTACCGCTCTGCGCCAGGGCCATGCCAGTGAGCTAGTGAGACAACCAATGATACTTTAGCTTTTGGATCGTCATGTATGACGATTTCTGAAAGAAAAGATTGCACGTGCATGGCGACACCGACACTCGGCAAGGAAGGAATAAGGAATGCAGGAGAAGACGACGCCACTGATGGGAGGCGGGTATCCTGAACATACCAATCGCTATCGCGCTGGTTGAATACTGCCACGTGCGCCAAGATCAAATAAACCACCGCAATACCGCTGGCCGTAATTGCTCCTTGGCGAACGGGCCGCACGTTTTCTCTCTCACATTATCTCTCACCCACAATGTATGTATGTATGCATGCGTATGTATGTACGTATGCATGCATGGACGTATGTACATACTTATGTGTGTCTGTAGGTGTATGTAGACATACATGCATGTATGCATGCATGCCTGTATGTCTGCATGACTGCGTGTATGTATTTACGTACGTACGTATGAGCGCTGGTATATGTGTGTGATTGTATGTATGTGTGCATGCATACGTGCATGCATGTTTGTATGTATGTAAGTAAGTATGTATGCATGTATGTATGTATGTACGTATATATATATACATATACATATATATATATGTATGCATATATGTATGTATGCATGCGTGGATGTATGTATGTATGCATGCATGTATGTACATATATATATGTATGCATGTATGTCTGGATGTATGTAGGTATGTATGTATGCATGTATGTATGTTTGTATGTATGTATGACTGACTGTGTGTACGTATGTATGTATGTGTATGTGTAGGTATACCTGTCTGTCGGTCTGTCTGTATGTATGCATGCATGTATGTATGTATATATGTATGTATATAGTTCTGTATGTGGCCGACCACTTTTCCGCCAGCGCAGAGAACGGGCATCCTGCCGATGCGGTGGGTCCGGCCGCTCTGCTGGGCTGCCCGGCGTCACTCGCGATCCGTCTCGTCGACCTTCTCGACGACAGGTTCAGGGAGCCGAGGAGGATCGGTAGCGAGAAAAGCTTGGCAGCATCTTGGCCGCCTGGGGTCTGACAAGTGGGCCAGACAGCGAGGGCGGTCGTGAAAATGCACGCCGCACGCGGGGCAGGTGGACGTCGAAACGAATGATCGTACGGTCGAGCGCACACCCTGCTTGCTACGCGGATGCTGTGCCAGGGCTTTCGGGTCGGCGAACGCCTTGGAGCAATCGCAGCACACGAAGGCTTTGGGCCGACTGGCGGAATCCGAAGACGCACGACTCCGATCGGCAACTGATGCACAAAAGAAAACGGAGTCAACGTGCTCTGGCTACGCAGACTCGTCCTGCACAGCATTCTGCCAAGCCTTGGGATCAGTGTCGGAACCTGGAAGCGCGGCGGCGCCAGGGCAGAAGTCGACAAAAGTCAGGAGATCGGCGCGAAACTGCACAACCCATGGCAAGCACATGCCGTTCCCCTGCAAAGACAGAAAGGGCAACGACTGACTGGGGTCGCCTCCGCATGACGCACCCGGCATAGGTGAGGCGCCCGCGGCGCATACTGCAATCCACGGAGGGCGCTCCAAGCTGCGCGGGCGCCTGAAGGGCGGTGACTTCAGATGGGCCGAAACGAACTCTGTCAACCATTCATACTGCGAACCGCGCTCATGTATGCCGTGTTCAAAGCTTTGAGGCTTCTCGCAGAAACCACGAAGTTTCTGCGTGGGCCTCTGTGGCGGTCCCCTCGCCACTGTGCCCTCAGCACGTGGGTGGAGTGCTCCAAGGCTCACGCATCCCTGAGAGGTAGGGGGTCTGTAGGGGTCTGAAGGGCCGAGACCCCTGGCGCTCCAAGGCGCTCCTGGGCGCTGTTGGCAGGGGAGCCCAGAATCGAATCGATAAGTCGGATCGGCGATCGAAATAAGTCGGATCGGCGGAAATCGGCAGCCGAGTCGGGAAGAGTCGGATCGGCGGGAATCGGCAGGCTAGTATGCGTTCAATGAGACGTCGGAGCCCAAACTGGAATCCGAAATCGAACCGAATCGGGCTCGGAGTCCATCGAAGCCGAGTGGAGTCGAATCGGAGGGATCGAAGCGAGCCCCGTCTTGGGCGCCGCTGAAGTTCCTCGTGTGGGCCTCCGGGATGGCATCCCTCGCCCGTGCCCCTCGCCCAGGGAGGGCCCTCAAACGGGCCAAGAGAAGCCCAGGAGGCCGCCCACGCGGTCGAGGGGCCCAGGGGCGACGACCCATCACTCCAGGGCGCCCAGCTGCAGCATGGTCTCAAAACTGCCCAGGCTGCCCCCCAGGCGCCCCCAGAGGCCTCCGGGAGGCCTTCCAGAAAGGCCCCCAGAAACAAGCTCGCTGATCTCCGTTCGGCTTTCGACGGAGGTTGGCTCCCTCGCCTTTTCGGCTTCCCGACGCTCCAGGACGGCTCAAGCTCCGAGATCGCCCCTCCCGGAGGGCCCCAGCGGTCCAAGAGGCCTCCAAGACGGCCCGAGAGGCCCCCAAGACGGCTCCAAGAGGCGGCCCAGACGGGGGACCCGAATGGACCTTTCGACCTCGCGGGCACGAAAGGCCCCCACGGGGCCCCCGCGAGGCCCTCAAGGAGGCTCCCAAGAGGCCCCCTGAGAGGCCACAGAACTTCCCCCAAGAGGCCCTCAACCTGCCCCCCAAGAGGCCCCCGAGAGCGCTCCGCAGGGACCCCAAGAAGCATCCCCGAGGACTCCAACCCGCAATCCAAGCACAATGGCGGGATGGGCCCTGCGGCTTCGGCCCAGCCCGCCGGCCATCCGAAACGACCCGCAACGACCACAAGATATCTCCGCGAGACTCTGTTAGATGGCCTTAAGATGGCCTCCAAGACGGCCAATCTGGCCCAAGACGGTGCCACGTCGTCTGCAAGACGGCTCAGTTGGCACCACATCGGCCCACGATGACCCCAAGACGGCCCAAGAGGCCTCCAAGAGGCCCCCCCATAGGCCCCAAGAGGCCTCCAAGAGGTCCTCCAGGAAGGCCCGAAGAGGCCCAAATCATTGATATTCCTTTGGCTTTTGGCAGATTTTTGGCATTTGCTTCAAAACTGCCCTCCGACTGCCCAAGAGGCCCCCAAGATTGCTCCAAGATCGCCCAAGAGGCCTCCAAGATGGCCCCAGGACGGCCCAACAGCCTGCAAGACGCCCAAGATGGCCATCAAGACGACCCTGAGATTCCCCGAGACGGCCCAGAGAGGTTCCCACGGTTTCCGACAACGTCAGACGGGCCAGGAACGCCGTAAGACGACCAAAGAGACCCCCAGGAAGTCCCCAGAGGCCCCTAAGAGGCCCAAGGCGGCCCCCAAGAGGCCTCCGAGAGGCCCCCAGGAATCTCGCAAGAGGCCCCCAAAGTGACCCAAGAAGCTCCTAACAGGTCTCCTCCTCCTCTTCCTCCTTTCACCTCCCTCTCCTCATCCTCCTCTTCCTCCCCCATGTGCTCCCCGAAAGGCTTCCGCAACGGCTGGGGGAACGCATGGTCCAATAGTATGCGTGGCCAAGCTTTGCCCAAACCGTTTGGCCACAGAGGAGTATGCCAAAGGCAGGGGGTGACGGTGATTCGCCGTTGGCGCATTCGACGCATCACTTCCGTTCTCCGATACAGCTTTCACACCCCGCCGCTTGCAGCCTGACATGCTCTTTTCCAGCAGCAAGCAGACAACTCACAACGTCATCCTGCCTCCTCTTCAACACGTGCGCGGCAGGGCCGACGCAGCGGGGGAGGCCCTCGGCCACACTCCTCGGCCGCCCCTGCCCGCCACTTGCTGGAAAAGGGAGGGGGGGGGGGCGCCTCGTGCATCGGTGCTGCGTTCATCCCCCTGCTGAACACCCCTCGAACACCTGATGGACATCGGGCTCGGGCGCTCCCGCTTGCGTCTCGGCGGTGGGCGAGGAGGGGAAGCGAGAAGGAGAAGGCCTTCTCAGAAGGCGGCGGGACTTCCGAGAAGCCCTCGCGCCTCCCGAGAAATATTCGGTGTCTTCGGGGACAGCTTGGGACACCTCTCCGAAGGCCGAGGGACTCCCGGGCCGCCTTCAGAGAGGGCCCGCCCCTTCTCCCTTCTCCCCCAGGCTCGCCGCCGAGTCACGCAGCCCGGTGTCGGGCTTCGGCGCTCCCGCTCGAGTCGCAGGGCTGGTCGCGAAGCGCCTCGCTCTGCGATGCTCCGTCTCCTGTCCTCGGCTCCTCCTCCGGCTCTGCCTCCTGGATGCCAGGCGCCGGCTCCTGCGCTGGTGAGCTGAATACGCCGGCCCCCGCGCGGGTGGGGGGGCCACCCAGGCGTGCGCGCGCGGCCAGTACAGGGAGGCAAGGAGGAGGAGGAGGAGGAGGAGGAGGAGGAGGAGGAGGAGGAGGAGGAGGAGGAGGAGGAGGAGGAGGAGGAGGCGGAGGAGGAGGGAGGAGGAGCAGGGGAAGAGCAGGGGGAAGACGAGGAGGAGGAGGAGGAGGAGGAGGAGGAGGAGGAGGAGGAGGAGGAGGAGGAGGAGGAGGAGGAGGAGGAGAGAGGACGAGGAGGAGGAGGAGGAGGAGGAGAGGGAGGAGGAGGAGGGGGAAGACGAGGAGGAGGAGGACGAGGAGGAGGAGGAGGAGGAGGAGGAGGAGGAGGAGGAGGAGGAGAAAGGTGAGGGGGAGGAGGACAAGCTAGGTGCGCTGGCGCCACATCTGACATCCTGCCCCTCCCTCTCATCCCTTCCCATCGCTCTGACCATATCTCTATCCGCCAACGGGTGTCATATTGGACCTTGACCACCCCCAAAGACCCCGCCGTGTTACGCGCAATCTGAAAAGGGGAGCTGTGTACATTGGAGGAGAAGGAGAAGGTTGCGGATGAGCAGGAGGAAAAGAAGGGCATGAGGAAGGATGAGGACGAGGAGGAAGTGCAGCAGCAGGAACAGGAGGAGCGGGAGGATCAGGAGGACCAGGGGAAGACGGAGGAGGGGAACTGGAGGGTGCGACAGCGACGAGGAATCACTCGGATCCAGCGACATCACGGTGGGGCCAGAGCGCCATTCTGAACGACGGGAGCAGAGCGCCCATCGAACACATTAGCTAACGCTTCAGCGGGCGCGCCATCTTGGAAGGAGCGCAACCGATCGGATGAGAAACAAACACATACGAAAAGCCAACTCACCAACACCATGTGTAGAAGCCAAGCCGCTGAGGGTGGGCGGCTACTCTCAGCACGTCGTCGGGGGAGACAGGAGAGCAGTATGCATGTTGTGCAACTGTGAAGGAGGATAAAAAGAAAAGCGGAGGGTGGGGACACAGGCCGTCGGAGGAAGAGATAATGACAGGCGGATCAAAAAAAGGGAGGGATCGAGGAGCAGAGTGCCTCCCTGGTGCCTCCCTGGTGCCTCCCTGGTGCCTCCTTGGTGCCTCCTTGGGGCCTCCTTGGTGCTTTTTTGGTGCTTCCTTGTGGCTTCCCGGGGCCTCGTCGTCGTCGTCGTCGTCGTCGTCGTCGTCCTGCCCGAGCTGGACGGCTGACCGGTGGCCGGCAGCGCCCCGCCGACAGGCCCCGCCGATGACCCAGCAGGCGCCGTTCAGGGCGCCCACCTCTGGCATGCGGTGCGCGAGGACCTCTGGGCGGCCAGGGCGACGGCGGATGAGGCGGACCTCGTCGAGGCGCAGTGGGGGTCTGTAGTGAGTATCGTTTAACCGATCCCCATCCCCAGCGGCGTGGCCTGGGCCCCACTGGCCGATTCACCCCCTTAGATGGGGATGTAGGTCTTTCCCTTCGGGTTTCGAGGGGTGTATCCCCAACTGGGGTGGGGAATCTGGTGGGGTCTCGAAGGGGATTGGGATGGGGATGGGGATCTTTTAAACGATGCTGATATAGGTCACCCAACTTCGCGGGCCGCGCCCCGCAACGGGCGACGAGCGCTCATCTTCTCGCATGCACGCGCCGCCTTCTGGACAGGGCCAGCTCGGCGGCACTGGCCGCAACCCGCGAGACGTGAGCATCGTCGCGCCCCTTTTGGGTGATCAGCGGGGGGCCAGGCGGCCAGGGAGAGCCCAGGGATGCCCAAGGGCGGACCCGGGCCTCTGGGCGGCGAGGGCGAGGCGGGAGAGGTCGGAGGAGCAGGAGGAGGCGGAGGGAGCAGGAGGAGAGGGGGCTGGCGCTGCGACTGCTTCTGAAGAGCGGTTCCGCGGGAAGGGCCGGGGGACGGTGCGCCGCGGCGCGGGAACTGCCACTGCGCAGTAGGAGGGGGAGGAGAGGGGGGAGGGAGGGGTTGGAGGGAGGCGGACGAAGCGAGGCAGATCGGAGAAGAGGCGGGGAAGACCAGAGAACAATGGATGGGAAGAGAAGAGAAGGCGAAGGAGCGTGGGAGGATGAAGATAACAAGAGAGGAGGTGCCCCCCACCCCTCGCAGGGCGAAGCAGACGACGCCACCAAAATATGAGCCAAATCCGACGGCTCTTTTGGGGGTTTCCAGGGTTTCTGAGGGCCATTGCACTCGCAACAATACAGCAACTTCGCGCTCTCGAACTCATGGCCCCTTGTGAATTACGACGTACTCGCGCTCCCGAGGCCACGGTACTCCCCAAATGTGCGTTAGCATAGGGCCTCTTACCTAACCGTAATAATTCGTTTTTGAAGCGTACTGCCGGTCTCGCCCTCCACATGGCGTTGCTGTTGATGCTGTTGATGTTGTTGTGGCTATTGTTGTTATAGTTGTTGTTGTTGTTGTTGTTATTGCTGTTGTTGTTGTTGCTGTTGTTTTTTGTTGTTATTGATGCTGCTGTTGTTGATGTGTTCGTTGTCGTTGCTGCTGCTGCTGTTGCCGACGGTGTCGTTGATAGTTATGAACTTGTTGCGGTTGTTGTTGCTGCTGTTGTTATGATTGTTATTGTTATTCTGGTTGTTGTTGTTTTTGTTGCTGTTGTTGTTATCGTAAGTGTCGTTGCCCTTGTTGTTGCTGTTGTTGATCTTCTTGTTGTTGTCATTGTTGCTGCTGCTGTTGCTGTTGCTGTCGTCGTCGTTGTTGTTGGCAGCGAGGCCACTGGGGACCCACGGTGTACCTTGTTGCCAACCCGCTGAGGCAAGTCAAGGTCATACGAACGCTTGATGCTGTCGCGGCCCCTCGAGGCTCACAAATCTCGAAGGTCACCAGCGCAATTTTTCGTAGCTGCGCTCGGAATAATTGAATCTTTGTGATTCGCAGAGAATCACACATATTTCCTGAATCTTTGTGATTCGCAGGGAATCACAACTATTCAAATATTATCAGCGCGGCTTTTCGTGGCAATCTTTGTGACGGCCGAGCGTTTGATCACAAAGATTGCGTGGAAAGGCTGCGCTCGGGATCTTTGAATCTTGGTGATTCGCAGGGACTCACAAAACGATTTGCGGAACCTTTGTGATTCGCAGGGAATCACAAATATGTGCGGCATCTTTGTGATTCGCAAGGGGTTTCAAACATCTGCAGGATCTAAGATCTCCCGCGCAGCGAGGAGAGGGAGGGTGAGGAGGCTGAGAATGAGGAGAGGAGGATGAGTAGAAGGATGACCAAGGAGCACGAGGCCTTCCAGAAACGATTGCCAAGCGTGGGTCGTCGTCAGGCCGTCTCGAGGTCTTGGATCAGTCTTGGACCGCTTCGGCGATGTATCTACTGGTTTCCAATCGGGCAGATTTGGGCGCAATCTCAGGCCGTCTACGGCTATTTAGGACCTCCGGGAGGAATGTTTACAGCTACGGTCAATTGCGCGTAAGCGGTACACGTGTGCAACATGAAGGACGCGCAATCGTTCATCTTGGGTGGTCTTGGGTTCTCTTGGGTTTCCGCGGGCAATCTTCACCGCAACAACACGCGAACGGTACAAAGCAACCATGTATCTTGTACCGTTTACGTGCAATGTTTGACCTTCGATCTTTCTTCAAACGCTTGTGTGGTGAGTGCGGGGCCTTCTAGGTCGTCGTCAGGCCGTCTTGTGGTCTTGGGTCCATTCTTTAACGCTTTGGACCTGTATCTCGATGGGACAGATGTGGACGTCTAAGGTTGCCTTGAATTCCCGCGGGCCATCTTTACCGCAACGGCCTTTCTTGTACCGTTTATGTGCACCCTTCAAGCTCGCACCGTCTCATACCACAAGGTCGCCAGCTTGCGCTGTCTTGGGCTAATTCGCTGTCTATCGTGCACGTTTAAGCGCGAACTAGTGTGGCCCGTGCAGGGATGATCCAGTGGCGCTGCCGCGCGATTCCGCCACCGCGCTCGGGCGGGCGCCTGGGGGGGAGTGGGGAGGGGGGAGGGGCCATGGAACGTCCTGCCGTTTACTTCGTATTTGGGCACATTCTTTGTTTGGCAAGCCAACAATGCAAGGACTTGGTCACAAAACCGCATCTTGGGCTTGATACGTCAAGGGGCCCTAGTTTTTGCTTCGGAAGGAGCGAAAGGGCCCGAGACATACCTATCGCTGCAAGCGCGGTGGCAGATCTAGACCGTCATGGGCCCCCGAATTCCCTCTACGTGCAATCGCCTCTGCTGTGCCATGTGGGGCAATACCTGGCTTGCGCATTTTCGGACATTCTGACAAAGAGAATCGCTTCATGCGTAAATATGTTGCGGCTCAAAACGAGGTTTGCATGATTGATCAACCGTCGAGCCAGCTGTGCGCTCCCCAGCAGGCGACGGTAGGTCAGCCGCAGGCTTCACCACTTACACATGGTCAGGTACATGGGCTCGCCAGGTTCTGTATATTCTCTCGCCCTCCTGGTTTTGCTAGGTGTCCTCGGGTACCACAACAACCTTTTGGCAGGCAGCTTCATTGCTACCAAGTAGTCTCTGATGCAACAATGTCGATGCATCTATAAAAAGGCTTGCTTCACAACCATGGCAAGGACAGCGCTGGCGAACATCACACCTGGGCAGCTCACGTGGAGGGGTGCCACGCGGCGCACACTGGCGTCATGCCAGGGGAGGCGCTTGGGGAGCCCAGCGTGCAGGTAGCCATCAAGGAAGTGGCGGAAACATGGGCAGAACATGTGGGGCGATTCTTATCCCGTGCAGCTCGATCAACTGATGAAGACGTTCTCATCAACATGGCAGAAGCAATTGGGAAACGGGTTCCTCTATGCTTGCGGGACTCAGGAGTTACGTGCGCAGAACAGGCTGCACTGTTTGTAGTCGCTGTTGCCCATAATCTTCAACTTTGCCCCCGTGCCGTACAGCGAAAAACTGCACGCTTGGTTGGCTGATAATTAAGCTGCAAGTTCACTTTGTGATTCCCTACAAAGTTTCGGGCTCTTCACCACACGGGATGTCACTCGCGCGGTTTCCCAGCTACGCGTGCCCTCGAGCGCAACTGCAGACTTCATCATGTAATCTGTCATTGACAAAGCCGCTGTGCAGGAAGCCAGCTGGGCGACGCTCATAGTGCATCAGTGCGAAGTTTGCCAAGTGCTGGAGGCCGTCCCGCTCGGAGTCATCGAGCGCATTTTACAAGCCCCTGCTAGCGCATACAAGGCCGAAGTGTCAGAAGCCTCTCGCAGCTTGCTCGCCGATGTTAAACGCACGTCCTGCTTCGCCATGACTCTGGTGAAGACAGCGGTGCAGGCCCTGGGGCTGCTCTATAAGAAGCCGCGAGGAGTCGTCGGCAGCGGCCCCACGTTGTTAGAAATTTCTGTGGCGTTGGCCAAGACAGGCTTCAGCCCCAAGGCGTCGGTGTTCGGGATACCATAATGGACCACGTTGGTGGAGATGGCGTTGCACATTCTGAACAAAACGGCGGGGCAGAAGGTGATGCCGAAGAGGAGGGCGAAGCGCATTCAGCAGCAGTGCGGCATCGAGGGGCTCCGCAAGAAGGCGCGAAAATTCCACATCACCCCCCGCGGGAAGAGCAAGGCGAAACTGCTGCGAATGATGTCTTCGGCGAGCAATGCCGCAGTGAAGTGAGGTGGGACAGCGGCAGCGCCGCAAACGGTGCAATGCAAACAGCTGTCTTGTACCGTTTACGTGCAACCCAGAAATTCGCACCGTTTACGTGCTATCTCCCTCGTTGGATCCTGCGCCGCCTGCGCGCGGCCAGTCGTCTTGGGCTGTCTCGCGATTCTGTTGGCAATCTGCGCAGCAGCGGCCGACAGCACGGAAACTGTACATGTGTGCAACGCCAGAGGTTGCGCGTAAACGGTACAACGAAACCGTCCATAGTGTGCCTTTTAGGTTCCGTTCACGTGCAACATTCAGTTCTTGATGCCTCGCGCGTCCCCACCAGCCCATCCAGAAAAGATGCCCGCGAAAGCTGACGCGGGGAGAGAGGAAGAGACGCGAGTAGTCAAGCAGCGACGGAAGCTGGCCTGGACGGCGCGCCAGGGCCGTCTTCCGGCTCGCGTGGTGGCGGTGCGAAGAGGAGGAGGAGGAGGAGGAGGAGGAGGAGGAGGAGGAGGAGGAGGAGGCGGAGGAGGAGGAGGAGAGGGAGGGAGGAGGCAAGAGGAGCAAGACGAGGAAAAGGAGGACGTGGATGAAGAGTACGAGGACTAAGAGAGTGAGGAGGAGTAGGAGGAGGACGAGGAGGAGGAGGAGGAGGAGGAGGAGGAGGAGAATGAGGAGGAGGAGGAGGAGGCGGAGGGGGAGGAAGGGGAGGGGTGGGAGGAGGAGGAGGAAGAGGACGAGGGGTAGAATTGGAACGAGGAGGATGAGGAGGGGGAGGAGGGGAGGAGGAGGAGGAGGAGGAGGAACATGATGAGGACGTGGACAAAGTAGATGGACGAGAACGCGAGGACGAGGAGGATGATGCTCACGAGGAGGAGGAGGAGAAACAGGAGGAAGAGGAGGAGGAGGAGGAGGAGGAGGAGGAGGAGGAGGAGGAGGAGGAGGAGGAGGAGGAGGAGGAGGAGAGGGAGGAGGAGGAGGAGGAGGAGAAGGACGAGGAGGTCGACGAGGCTGAGGACGAGGAGGGGGGCGAGGAGGGGGGCGAGGACGAGACGGCGTCTTGTGTGCCTCATAATCTACTGAAGGAAGCACGCTTTCGCGTGGGACATCCTTGAAGTTTATTCGGGCGCCACGCCCTCGACACTCAGGAATCACGCTCTCGCTGAGGTTTACTTAAAGATGCATTGGGGAATCGCGCTATCGCTCGAGACTTCCTCGGGACTCTCGCAGGACGCACGCTCTAGCAACCCGCCTGCTCAACCTGGCCGTCTAAGCCCGCTTTCCCAACACCCCCCGTGAAAGTCTACCCGGCCGATGTGCCCGTCTGGCCCTGTCACGTGTTTTCTGCTCCTAGCCCCCCTCCTGCTCTCTTCTCTCGTGCTGCATCTTCCTCCCTCCCCCTTGTCCCTGCCTTCCATCCGTCCCCTCTTTCCCTGCCTCAGGGGCTGCACGAAATACACACGTTGCAGGTAAGAAAGATACACCCCGAAAGGGGGACGATTGAAGACGAAGAGGGCGGGTATTGAGGGTTTGGGATATATGTGTGCAGTGGCATGCGAGCAGGCAATATCGAGCAGTCTTACAATGATTGTTGTTGTTGGTGTGAATATGGTTGTGGTTGTGGTTGTGGCTGTTGTTGCTGCTGTTGCTGCTGCTGCTGTTGTTGTTGTTGTTGTTGCTGCCATTTTTCGTCTTCTTCTTCTTCTTGTTGTTGTTGTTGTTGTTGTTGTTGTTGTTGTTGTTGTTATTGTTGTTGATGGTGCCCTGTCCCCTCAAAGAGTGGCGACCTTCACGAGGATAGTGCCCCTCTGGAGGGGCTGGAGCCATCCGCCAGCTCTGTGGGCCACTTGTGGTTCGGGCGCTCTGGCCCTTTGACAAATGGCGACCCTCACGAAGATGGTGCCCCTCTGGAAGGGCTGAAGCCCTCTGCCGGCTCTGTAGGCCACTTGTGGTTCGAGCGCCCTGGCCCTTCGAAAAGTGGCGACCCTCACGAGGATGGTGCCCCTCTGGAGGGGCTGAAGCCCTCTGCCGCCTCTATGAGCCAGCTGTGGTTCGGGCGTCCTCGCCCTTCGACAAGTGGCGACCCTCACGAGGATGGTGCCCCTCTGGAGGGGCTGAAATACTCTGTTGGCTCTCTGGCCCAGCTGTGGTCCGGGCGCCCTGGCCCACCGACAAGTGGCGGTCTTCACGAGGATTTTGGACGCCCGAAATGGGTACGAAAGAATGGGTACAATGCCCAACAGCAGTTCCTGTTCATTCTGAACAGGACTCGCTGTCGGTGTCGACGCGGCCTGTGTCCGTTTGAGACAGAAGGCCGCCTGCCCAACAGCGGCCGCTGTTGGTTTGGGACAACATTTGCTGTTGGGCATTGTGCCCATTTTTTCTGTACCGATTTCGGGCGTCCAACAAAAGGATGGTCCTCCTCCGCCTCCTCCTCCTCCTCCTCCGCCTCCCCCTCCTCCTCCTCCTCCTCCTCCTCCCCTGAAGGAGCAGGGGCCCTCTTCCGGCTCTGCGGGTCAGGGTGGGGGGTCGGGCGCCCCAGCCCTCGGGAAGTGGCGACCCTCCCGAGGGTGGTGCCCCTCTGGAGGCGCTGGAGCCCTCTGCCGGCTCTGTAGCAGATGTAGTGGCAGCAGGAGTAGCCAACGTAGTCTTAGTATGTGGGTCGGTAGTACCAAATCGTTCTAGCAGCAGCAGGGTCAGTAGCAGTAACAAGGTCGGGGGGGAAAAGGTCGATGGGGGAGGAAGAGGGTTAGCGATACAAGGTGAGGGTGTACAAGGGGGAGAGGGAAGAACGAAGGGAGGAGGAACCGGAACAACATCAAGATCACACTTGATGAGATATATAAGGATGCTTACGTTTATGCTGATGCTGATGATGTTGAAGGTCTTGTTGTGGACGCTGATGATCAGGACTCCGCTTACGGCGCGCCATCAGCACAACCGCAGACCCTTGCCTCGAACGCACGCTGATAAGACTTCAACACACCAGGGCCACTCAGGCTCGGGACGCCCAGCGGCGAGCACAGAGGGGTTCCAAAGACGATCGAAGACGCAATTACTACTTGAGGCCGAACCAGTGGCACGCCTCGTGATGATGGTGATGAGGATGAAGATGAGGATTGGGATGCGGATGAGGAGCACCAATGTAAACCCAGGACTCATCAACTATGCTGCAATAGCCCCTCCCTCCAAGTTCCCTCTTCATATCCCTACAGCAATCTGTTTTCATGGCGGGAAGTGGCCCATCAGCGAACAACCGTCTGAGAATCTTCAAGCGGTGCCAAAGCCGTTCTTCGGACTTCACCGCCGCGGATCAACGTGCCTGTTGCGTCCTGACAGTGCTAGATCGTGCCACAACACCAACCCTAGGACTTCAACGCCGAGAATCAGCGTGACTGCTGCGTCCTGGCAACCCTAAGTCGTATCAGACCACAGTTCCTGGGTCGTCAACCGTACGAACTCTTGAAACAAGTGCGCCATTTTGAAAATAATGTGCGCGGCGCTACGGCGAGAACCACATTTTGAAAAGGAGCCGCCCTCCATCTTCAAACCTGTTCCAATATTTAACAACGAATGTGTGCGGCGCCGAGGCAAGCCCCACATTTTGAAAAGGAGCCCCCATGCATCCTTGAAGCTATTGGAAAGTTTTGAAATGAATGTGCGCGGCGCTACGGCGAGAGCCACCTTTTGAAAAGGAGCCGCACACCATCCTTGAAGAAACTGCACACTTTTAAAACGAGTGTGCGCGGCGCTGACGCGAGAACTATATTTTGAATACCGCCCGCCCTCCATCTTTGGAACTGTTGCAAATTTCGAGCTTCAGGGTCATGAAGATGTCTCAAGCGAAACGCCTGGCCCGCCCTACCGACACGTCTGGGGGTGCGACAGAGAGGAATTATGCATACGGAAAAAATGGAGGAGGAAGAGCCCCACCGCGTCAGGAAGTCCCCGTCTGACTGGGAGCAGCAGCAGCAGCAACAAAGGCGCCTCAACATGGAGGAGGAAGAGGATGATGAGGAGGAAGAGAAGGATGCGCAAAAGACCGAGAAGGCGCTGCGGGCTCCACTGAGGAAGCTGGAGCCGTTCACCGCGATGTCTACGTAGGCGTTCTTGTTCAGGAACTCCACCCATCTCTGAATGCAAGCCAGGGCACACCTAAGGATGGTGAGGGGAAGAGGAGATGAGGGGGCGGCAGCGAGCAGGGGGGAGGGCCAGGATGTAAGAGGAAGCTGGAGGAGGTGGAGGACAGATGGAGAACAACAAGGGATACGAATAATAATGTTGATTATAATAATACAAAAAAGAAAGGCAAGGAAGGAAGGAGACAGCGGGGATGGAGCAGGGAGGAGCAACGAAGAGCGAGGAGGAAGACCATGAGGATGACGAGGAGGAGAGCAAGCACGGATGCAGGAGGGGGAGGAGGATGATACAGAGATGCATCTGAATAAATCGAGGGAACCAGGGTGAGGAGAATAAGGATCAGTAGGATGAGGTGGAATAAGGGAAGGAGTAAAAGGAGGACGAGAAAGACGAGGAGGGACTGAGGAGGGAGACGGTAGGACGAGGAACATGGAGGAGAGGAAAATGACGCGGATGAAGGTCAGGAGTGACTGTCCAACTCGCAAGACTGCTGCTCGCTTGTGCAAGGCTCGTGCTTGATGGTTGCTTCGTGCACAGGCTGCTTGGGGTGAGGCTTTCGGCGCAGAGAACCTGCGACCCCATCCGGAGGTCGCGCGATTGAAACACGGAAGACGATACACGGCGAAATCAAATCAGCCGCACCATGTAACGCTACAAGGAGGAATCGAGAAGATGGAGCAGGAGGAGGAGGAGGAGGAGGAGGAGGAGGAGGAGGAGGGGGAGGATGAGGATGAGGATGAGGAGGAGGAGGAGGAGGAGGAGGAGGGGGAGGAGGAGGAGGAGAGGACCATGCGTTCCCGTGGCCCCAACACTGGCAGTGCACAAAAACTTTAGGGCAGACGGCACACCATACCAGCTGCAGCTCACTCGACCCTGGGCTCCCCTCGGCGTTCACTTGCCAAGCGTTGTGCGGGCGACTTTTAAGCCGACAGTGACGCGGCAACATCGACGGCTGTCACGCCTGCACAGGTGGTCAGTGCGCGCCGCTTTTGTGCAGGAGCTCTCTGATGTGCCTCGGCGTCTTACGGCTTGACCTGCAAACCCAAAAGCACACCCTGCGGGGAACTGTGTGGGATGCCGTGAGTGAAGTGGAGGAGGCCTTTCTGGCACGCATCTCACTCCATGTCCTCTTAGTGTCTTGCCCATGGCAGGAGATGGTCGCCACCTCCTCCTCCTCCTCCTCCTCCTCCTTCCTCCTCCTTCTCCTCCTCCTCCTTCATCACCTCCCCACCGCCAAACGTGCATCGCACCTCTGCCTTCCCCTCACTGACTCGAGCCGTTGCCTGCCCCTGCCTCGCAGATGCCTCCACGCTCGGCCACCTGCTGCCCTCGACGCACCTGCCGCCACTGCAGATGTTGCGACTGCTCACCATCCACGCCACTGCCACGTTCGCAAACACACTTCGTGATGCTGATCACGACGGGACGACCGCAGGTCTGGCGGCAACCGTGGACTGTCAACGCCACTACCGACGACCAAATTCCCTCGGAGCTGTGCCGAGCGCCGCGCGTGAAGCACGCCACAGGGCCTCTTCCACCGCGGCCATCGGCAGGTCCAGCCTGGTCGGGGGCAAGTGATATCTCGAGGCGATGGGGAGGGGCCGTCTTCGGTGAGCTAGCATTGGCGTACTGAGCGACCACAGCCCTGCGGATTCGCAGCGCACTTGATCATGCCCAGAGCTGAGGCACCATCGTAGGTGGAGGGAACTAAACACAATACGACTAGTGCTCGGGAGCTGCGAGAGGGAGCACGGAAGATCGGGCCTCCACGCAGGGGGTTCATCCCAGCTTTCGCCGATGCTGTGTGAGCGAACCTCAGGAACGAGAGCTGATACATCGCGGAAGGCAGAAGGTGTCACGGAGAGGTGAGCGGCAAGAGAGGGGTTGGAAGCTTGGGGGGGGGGCATCGCGGGGCGAAGTCGTGCGAGGTAAGTGCAGGCAGCGCGGGGAGCTGGGAGACATGGTACGGGAGAACTCTACGTTCCCCCGTAGCCACCGCACACTTCGCCCAACCGTCGGCCACAACGTACGCCTTTTTTTGTAAAAAAGATTGCTGTTGAACTCAAACGCTGGATTGGTAGGTGTGGCTGTGGCTGCTCTCAATATGACCTGTGCAGAAATCAAACGCAGCTGGTCACAGAATCGCTGGCAACCGGGACAGCGAAGAGCGACAGCTGTCCCGTGCAGGCGGGTGTGCACATGCATCTACATAAACTTCGATGGAATGAGGCTCGTAGAACGGTATATGTACTTGTGCATGTCGCCGCGCTGTTTGTGCTCGACGCGCCCAAGTGGACGAGGCCGACACGGAGGATCGGGAGGAGGAGGACGAGGAGGAGGAGGAGGAAGAGGAAGAGGAGAAGGAGGAAGAGGAGGAGGAGGAGAAGGAGGAAGAGGAGGAGGGGGAGAGGGAGGAGGAGGAGGATGGGGAGAGGGAGGAGGAGGAGGAGAGGAGGAGGAGGAGGAGGAGAGAGGAGAGGAGGAGGAGAAGAGGCGGAGGAGAAGCGGAAGAGCGGAGGAGGAGGAGGAGGAGGAGGAGGGAGGGGAGGAGGAGGAGGAGGAGGAGGAGGCGGCAAACCTGCGGCAAGCTATGCGCCCCGCGCACCGAACAGACGGCACACAACACCGCGGCAAAAAGCCGCGACAGACCCACCGCGCCCGACGCGGCGTCCGCCCCGGTGCCCGCGGCGCACTCCCAGGACGGAACGCCGCACGTCGAGACAAACGGCGCGGCGACATATTATATATATGTATATATATATACAGAGAGAGAGAGAGAGAGAGAGAGAGAGAGAGAGAAAGAAAGAAAGAAATAAAGAAAGAAAGAGAAAAAGAGAGAGAGAGAGAAATCGAGAGATAGAGAGTGAGCAAGAGAGAGAGAGAGAGAGAGAGATAGAGAAAGAAAGAGGTACTAAAATTCAATACGTGGCACAACTCGTGGAACTGTCAGGCACACCCGTGCACCTCTGGCCTTGCGCTGGGAAGGGGGCGGGAAGGGTCATCGCGAGGCGCGCAGGCGTAGCGGCCAGCGTGCTGGGCAGGGTGTGCAGCCCAGTGAGGGAGATGCAAACTGAGTGGAGGTGCAGTGAGGAGCACGGAGATAACGAGTGCGGGGAGGACGATGGTGTTTGTAGCCCCACTTCTCGTCATAATTTGCAGAAGCTTGCTCGCCACCTCCTCCTCCCTCCTCCATCCGCTATCCTCCCTCCTTCCTCCTCCTCCTCCTTCTCCTCCCTCTCCTCCTCCTCCTCCTCCTCCCTCCTCCTCCTCCTTCTCCTCCTCCTCCTCCTCCTTCCTACTCCTCTCCTCCTCCTGCTCCTCCTCCTCCCTTCCCCCCCCCCCCCCGCACATCGGGCAAGCCTGCTTGGCAGCGAAGCTCAGTGCCAGCCGGAGGAGCCGTGTCGAGGCGACCACGAAGGAGCCCATGGCGAGGGAACCCAGGTGGAAGGACAGGCCGAGGGAGTAGGCCTGAAGTGCGGGGAGGCCGAGAAGCAGGAGGGATGGGGGTGAGGGACGCAGACCTCCGACTGAGTGTTCCTTGGCAAGTGTGCTCTTTCCCAGCTCGCACTTCGCGTTGCTTACTTGCGTGCTGAAGTGATTGGATGGGTGTGTCGGGGTTTTGCCTGGTGCCCGGTGGGTGGCTGGTCGTAGGCGCCTCGCCTCGTGGCAAGCTCGTGCGCCGGGCGGGCGTGTCGAGGTCTCGCGTGGTGCCCTCCCGTGGCCGCCTCGTGGCCGCCCCGTGCGCTGCGTGCACCACGAAGCTCGCACCACAGCGCTTGCACCACATCGATTTCACATCGTAGCTAGCCATCACGTGGCTTGCACCGCATAGCTTGCAACGCGTAGCTTGCACCACATGTGTTCTCCTTTCTAAGGGAGAATTCGGATCTCCCCCCCCGCCCTCCCCAGGGTTGGCGGGTCACCTTTTCGAATGGCACTTTACACATGATTCTGCCACATTGCCCATCCTAAATCTGAAACTCGTACCATCCCAACTGGGCCGGTATCCCCCCTCACGCATCCTCTACATAGTATACTCTGCGCGCGCACTCGTTTATCACAAATCATATGATTTCGAACATCATTTGCGAACGAATGAACGAAGTGCACACGCGCGCGTCGTCGCGCGCGCATGGCGAAGCCCTTCACACATCATAGGCTTCGTAGAATCTTCAAAATCGAATATGCAAACACATATAAAACACACGGACAAGGTTTCGCAACACGGATTTTCAACACAACTTGCGCGCGCTCTTGCACATATTGACGAAACTAACATGTTATCAACTTTTCAATAACATGATACCAAGCGGGTCTCGCGCCCGCATGTCGAAATCGTTCGAACGCATTTGCGCGCGTGCTGTCGCACAAATCGTGTGCAACAGATGTGACGAAATGCGCGCGCGCGTGGTCGCGCGCGCATGCTGGAATCCTTGAACCATCTTCGGTTTCGTACGGCTTTCAAAATCGAGTGTCCAAAACACACATAACAACACATAATGTCGCAACACGTATTCAAACAACAAACATGCGGTCGCGCTCATGCAGGTTCTTAAAATCTATCGATTTTCGAACGTTTCCAGCAACCTCTGCCAAACGGGCCTTTCGGGCCTTTCGAACGGCCTTGCGCGCGTGTTGGATGGGGGGGCACGACCCGTGTCAATTAATACCACGCGGGCCAATCGCACGCGTCGGCCGCGTGCGCTTGTCGAATTCAGGACCCTGCATCGCTGACGCGAGGACGTCGTCATCGTTATCGGCGGGCGTGATCAACATCGGCGCCGTCATTGGCCTTGCCGTCGTCATCGCCACCTTCGTCAGCATTGCTGCTCTCATAATCATGTCTACCGTGGTCGGCGTCGCCATAATACCACGCCCGCCCAAGTCACCGACTCGCACTGAAATTCCCGCTGGGAAGTGCCAAGCGGTCAGCGCCACCGCGGCCGCGTCGGTCGTGCTAAAGGAGCTGGCCGCTCTGCGCGCGAGCATGCGCGGGCTAGCGCGGCCGCAGAGATGCAACAGCCAACGTCAAGCACTCATCGCAATCGCCGCCGCATGGGTTTTGCAAAGCAAGTTGCTCGTCAAGCGCGAGGCAAGGTAGTCACTTTCATCACATAGATTGCACCGCGTGGCTTGCACCACGTGTTGCGCACAACGAAGCCCACACCACATATTCTCGTTTCTAAGAGAATATTGGGATCTACCCCCCACCCCTTCCAGATTTGTCGGGCTCCGCACGGGATGTGCAATTTCCATATGATTCTGCCCCCTCGTCCTGCCTAAATATGAGCTCGCACATCCCAACTGGACCGGTAACCCCCCCTCATCCTCAGCCCAAAATGCTATGCGCGCGCACTCGCTTCATCGAAACGCGTCAGTTTTCCATGATTGCTGTGAAAGGGAAACGAAGTGCAAACCCGCGCGTCGTCGCGCGCGCATGCCGGAATCCTTTCAAAACTTTCGGTTTCGCAGGGATTTCAAATTCGAGAACATGAAAACACACGGATTCGCAACAAGGATGTTCAAAACAAGCCTGCGTGCGCGCTCTGGCGAATTCTTAAGAAAACCATAGTTTTTCACAACCATCCTGTGGTGTTGGGTCCTCGTTTTGAAGAGACGGTGGCCCGCGTCTCCTCTCCTCCTCCTCCTCCTCTCCTCCTCCTCCTCCTCCTCCTCCTCCTCCTCCTCCCTCCTCCCCCTCTTCCCTGCGTTTCACCCACCCAGTACAGCGCTTCGTAGCTGCATAGGAGCTCCGCCGAAGGCCCCAGTGCTGCCGCCCGCATGCGTCACCCACACCCAATTCGGCACACCCCTCACACGTTTCGTGGCCCCATAGGGAGCTCCGCCGAAGGCCCCAGTGCTGCCGCCCGCATGCGTCCCCCACCCACCAATTCCGGCACACCCCCCACACTCACCCCACACCCAAGTCGGCACACCCCTCACACGTTTCGTGGCCCCATAGGGAGCTCCGCCGACGGCCCCAGCGCTGCCGCCCGCATGCGTCACCCACACCCAATTCGGCACACCCCTCACACGTTTCGTGGCCCCATAGGAGCTCCGCCGAAGGCCCCAGCTGCCTGCCCGCATGCAGCCCATGCGTTTCACCACAGTGCCCCGCCCGCATGCGTCACGCACACCCAATTCGGCACACCCCTCACACGTTTCGTGGCCCATAGGGAGCTCCGCCGAAGGCCCCAGTGCTGCCGCCCGCATGCGTCACCCGCACCCAATTCGGCACACCCCTCACACGTTTCGTGGCCCCATAGGGGGCTCCGCCGAAGGCCCCAGTGCTGCCGCCCGCATGCGTCACCCACACCCAAGTCGGCACACCCCTCACACGTTTCGTGGCCCCATAGGAGCTCCGCCGAAGGCCCCGGTGCTGCCGCCCGCATGCGTCACCCACACCCAATTCGGCACACCCCACCACGTTCGTGGCCCCATAGGAGCAAGGCCCCAGCTTCGCCCGCATGGCCACCATAGCCAATTCGGCACACCCCTCACACCGTGGCCGGAGCGCCGAAGGCCCCAGTGCTGCCGCCCGCATGCGTCACACCCACACCCAATTCGGCACACCCCTCACACGTTTCGTGGCCCCATAGGGAGCTCCGCCGAAGGCCCCAGTGCTGCCGCCCGCATGCGTCACGCACACCCAATTCGGCACACCCCTCACACGTTTCGTGGCCCCATAGGGAGCTCCGCCGAAGGCCCCAGCGCTGCCGCCCGCATGCGTCACGCACACCCAATTCGGCACACCCCTCACACGTTTCGTGGCCCCATAAGGAGCTCCGCCGAAGGCCCCAGTGCTGCCGCCCGCATGCGTCCCGCACACCCAATTCGGCACACCCCTCACACGTTTCGTGGCCCCATAGGGAGCTCCACCGAAGGCCCCCAGTGCTGCCGCATGCGTCACGCACACCCATTCGGCCCACCCTTCACACGTCTCGCGGCCCCATAGGGAGCTCCGCCGAAGGCCCCAGCGCTGTCGCCCGCATGCGTCACGCACACCCAATTCGGCACACCCCTCACACGTTTCGTGGCCCCATAGGGAGCTCCGCCGAAGGCCCCAGTGCTGCCGCCCGCATGCGTCACCCCACCCAATTCGGCACACCCCTCACACTCACCCACACCCAAGTCGGCACACCCCTCACACGTCGTCGTGGCCCCATAGGGAGCTCCGCCGACGGCCCCAGCGCTGCCGCCCGCATGCGTCACGCACACCCAATTCGGCACACCCCTCACACGTTTCGTGGCCCCATCGGAGCTCCGCCGAAGGCCCCAGTGCTGCCGCCCGCATGCGTCACGCACACCCAATTCGGCTCACCCCTCGCACGGTTCGCGGCCCCAAAGGGAGCTCCACCGAAGGTCCCGCTGGGTGTGCCCGCATTCGTCCCGCACATTCATGTCGGCACACCCTTCACACGCTTCGTGGCCCCATAGGGAGCCCCACCGAAGGCCCCAGCGCTGCCGCCCGCATGCGTCCCGCACGCCCATTTCGGCACACCCCTCACGCGTTTCGTGGCCCCACGGGGAGCTCCGCCGAAGGTCCCAGTGGGTGTGCCCGCACGCGTCCCGCACGCCTTTCCGGCATGCTCTTCACACGTTTCGTGGCCCCGTAGGGAGCTCCACCGAAGGTCCCAGTGGGTGTGCCCGCATGCGTTCCGCACACCAATTTCGGCACACCCCTCACACCTCTTGTGACCCCTGACACGTTTCGTGGTCCCATAGGGAGCCCCACCGAAGGCCCCAGTGTGTGTGCCTGCATGCGTCCCGCACACCCATTTCGGCACACCCATCGCACGTTTCGTGGCCCCGTAGGGGGCTCCACCGAAGGTCCCAGCGGGTGTGCCCGCATGCGTCCCGCACACCCATTTCGGCACACTCGTCACGCGCTTCGTGGCCCCATAGGGAGCTCCACCGAAAGTCCCAGTGGGTGTGCCCGCACGCGTCCCGCGCACCCATTTCGGCGCACCCCTCGCACGCTTCGTGGCCCCATAGGGAGCGCCACCGAAGAAGATATTCACAATTGCGGTATTCACAATTGCATATGGTTGGGTCCTTCGCCAGGATATTTTTTTACACAATTTCTATACCATGCTACCAAGCAGGCTCTGCGCGCGCAGGGCCGAAATCGTTCGAACGCCCTTGCACGCGTGCTGTCGCAAGAACCCTTGCTGCGGGTGGGTGGGTGGGATGATTGCGCGAGCGGTGGAGTTGTCAACCCACTGCAAGCATTGGACTGGCCGCGTAGATTGCAGCACATGAGTGTCAACGCTAAGCCTCAGCAAGTTCATAGCAACGTAGCTTACACCGCGTTGATTACACCGCGTACATTGCGCCACACCTATTGTGCAACACGTCCAGAGCTTAACTACCAATGCACCGTTTTGGGCCCGCGCTGGCAAGCATATTCTTACAATTTCGGCATCAGGGGATCCGGTCCCTGGGATGGTATCGAAAGCTCCAGGGCC